TGGTCAACTTTCTTTTTTTTTTTTTTTTTTTTTTTTTTGAGACAGAGTCTCGCTTGTTGTCCCAGCTAGAGTGAGTGGCCGTGGCGTCAGCCTAGCTTCACAGCAACCTCAAAACTCCTGGGCTCAAGTGATCCTTCTGCCTCCAGCCTCCCGGGTAGCTGGGACTACGGCATGCGCCACCATGCCCGGCTAATTTTTATATAATATATCATTGGCCAAATTATTTCTGTTTTTTATAGTAGAGACGGTGTCTCGCCTTGCTCAGGCTGGTTTTGAATCCTGACCGTTGAGCAATCCGCCGCCTCAGCCTCCAAGAGTAGTATGTACAGTCGTGAGCCACAGCGCCGGCCTATGGTCAACTTTCTTCAGTGGCCACATGGCATCACAAAAGAGGCTTTTCTATCCATAAATATTGTGCACTAACATTGGCAGAAGCCTCTGTAACTTATGAAATATAACTTCACATACTTAATCTTCTCAATGAAAACGTCTGCAAATTTGGTTTGAATGTTATTTCCACTACATAACGACTACTAACTTTTTAGACTTTGTTTCCTCGTCTCTAATACGGGAATATTATTACTATGAATACTTACTGTGATATGAGACTCCAGGGAAACCCGTATGTGAGAGCCCTTAGCAAATAGCGTAGCCTGCGCTCACTACCACCATCCTGCTACTGCCACGCGGCTCTCTCTTTGAGATCTCCTATCAAAAGATGCTGCGCTGGAGTGGTGGAAATAATAAATCACACACCTCACTGTCAGTCTTTTATCAGGAGAGAAGAATGAGTGAATGAAGGTGGAGTATGAAGCAGGGAAGGGCAAGGCCATGAATTGAGGAAGACCTAAAGGCACTGGCAGCCAACTTTGCCAGTACACTCCAGGGCTGCATTTTAGAGTCAGAAAGACCTGGCCACTTAAAGGAATGCAAACCTGGACTGAGGATTAAACTTCCTGAACCTCAGTTCTTCATGTATACTGAGATAACACTCTTATAAGTTGTTGTAGGAATTAAGTTAAATCATGTCTGCTAATTGCATGACACATACAGGTGAAAGCCAACACGCATGCTCTTTACGGGTGCTCAGCCACCTGTCTTGTTTATCGCCATCTTCCCAGGGCTAACAAAGTGCTTGGCACATAGTAGCCACTCAATAAATAGTTGTTTAATCAATTGCCAATTTGAACTACGAATTGTGGCAAGGGAGGTGTAAGTTCTGTTTATTCCTATTTTGTTTGCCTTTGCTTGGTTTTGCTCAGCTTTTAATTCTCTATTCTGTGCAAAGAAACTGAAATAGAATAAAACTTTTTTTTGTCTGATTTGCACATTGGGGTTAGTTGGTTGGTTTTCCTACCTCCATTCTTGGAGGATTTTTGAGCAAATCCTTTTTTGCTAATAAACATACCTTCTCTTTCCAGATCAAAGTGCCAGACAATCAAAATATAAAACAGCGTGCAAGATTAATTAATCTTACTGTGATTTGAATGTGATAATACTTTATTAGAAAGAACCCAGAGATAAGAAGCAATTAATAGTGATGTGTTGAGTATTCTGTTCTGACACAAAGCATGGGCATCTGTGTTCAGCTCAGATAATGTAGAAAAAGCCATTTAGGTTTCTAGCTGCAAATCCTGGCATTCAGCGGAGGGGGGAATCACTGAGAAACTGAGATATTTGATAGAGTTTGTAGCAGATGAAAAAAATTGCAGTACAAGCTGTTCTGTACATAGGACATTTCCCCAAACAGGCATCGCTCATCCTTGCATCTTTGTAACCTCAACTGTCTCAGCTTGCTTGTCTATAATCAGCTCTGAAATTGTGCCAGTCTTCCCTAGCATCCGATATTTGTCCCTTAGAAAGGTGACAGACAGCGAGATCCTGAGGAATAATAATCACCCCACGGCCACATTCCCTCTCTGTGGTGTCATTGATGTTTAGAAAGACCTTTATTCCAATCCCAGCCACTTAGCTTCATTGGGCAAGTTAAGTCATGCCTCAGTTTCCCCACCAATAAAATGGATGCGCCATACCCTTCTCATCAGGTTGTGATGGGGATTAAAAGAGATCATGTTTATAAAGTGGCCAGCATGGAGAAAGGCCTTTTAAAAAAGCAGCTGCTATGATTTGGGTATTAAGTTTCTCTCTTCTGACTGTGAAAACTGTAATCGGATGAAAAGAAGCAACATGAACCTGACATTTCAATCTCCCTGGAACAGGATATGGCTCTCTTTTGCATCTCAAAGTTACAAGGGAAAGTTTCCTCTACATCCTACTGGAGCAAGTCATGATTGCTCTATCCTTGCCACTTGGAACTGGACCCACCCACACCAGCAGTGCTGAGGAGCTTGCTAGAAATGCAGATCCTTAGGCTCCCCTCTGCACCTGATCCTCCAAGACCCTAGGTGAC